GTCGTCGTCGTCGTAGTACAGTAGTAGTAGTAGTAGTAGTAGCAGCAGCAGCAGCAGTGTCATTATTGTTGTTCTTCTTATTGTTACTATTGCTGTTGTTGCTTTCTATTATTACTGTAAGTATTGTGACTGTTTTCCTATTCTTATTGCTATTACTTCTCTGATTGTTGTTATTATTCTAAACAGCCAAGGAATCTGACTGGATCAGGTAGGCTGCTGTGCGATCTGAAGCCGGAAGACCCAGCTGCCGGGCGAAGCCTCTGCAAACCAAATCTGCGCTGACATGCCAGCGGGATAGCGAAGGCAAAGCATGCCGCCGGCCATGCGCTATAACTCAAAAAAATCATGGACCACAATATGTTGCCCGAACAAAACAGCAAAAGCTTGTTTTGCCCAGGCTCCCTGGAGTCAGAATCCGAGGAACTGGGTGCTCAACCTTCAAATAAGAAATTGCTAAAACACATTCTGTCTGCATGTGGGGCCTGCCAAAATTCAGGCAAATGCTTCGCCATCCATGTTGCCGCACTGCGGCCGAAGCTAGAATGCCAGCCGTAGGTAACTTGACAAGGCTGGAGATTCTGCTTCTCGATCAGCAGACTTCTGCCGTAAACCCCTAAACCCTTTGTGCATCTGGTTAAACCCCTAAGCCCGAAACCCTACACCCCAAACCCGATACCCTTAACCCTGAACCCTAAACAGTGAAACCATCAGCACCGCAGCAGTTTGACAGCGCGGACCTACCGAAGCCAGCGCGAAGGCTGCTGCCCGCATCTGCACCAGTAAACCAACACCACCTGTTCAGGGCTTTGGGTTTAGGGTTTAGGGTGTAGGGTTTAGAATTTAGGGTTTATGGTTCAGGGTGTAGGGTGTGGGTATCCTCCGGTGCTTCCCAAAATCTGAAGGACAATGGAACCAAACTCAAGCGTGGCGCGGCTGCCTCAAAGACGAAGGAAACTAGAAAAGAAAAGCAACTCAGCCTTGACATGCGTAGTCGCCGAGCTTGGCTGACCCCCAGATTCGTTGGCCTCGACCGTGCCTGGCGGACTAGATCTCTGGATTTTGTGTTCATCCGTCTCCTCATGACTGCCTTGCTCACTACGGCACGAGCTCAAGCAGCCCGTGACTTTGTAAGCAAGGCTGCGTGCCCCTGCCAGTGGACTCAAGTGGCAAAAGAGTCTCGACTTTGACTTACGTGCCTGGCTCAAAGGCGCACCTGGCCATCATCTGGACGATTGATTCATGCGAACTCTGTCTATACCAGCATACTAGAAAACCCAGAGGAGTATGCCACTCCACAACCAGTCAAACCGCTCGTCACAACGCAGGCCTGAGCATCCACGTGCACATCAAAGATGACATGCATACATGTACAAACCGCAGACCTTTTGTTCTCAGATTTCCACGCCTTGGCAATCTTGGTCATCTTTCCCCAATTGCTCGCCGACTAGTTTACCTTTTGGAGACCAAGAATGCAAGATTGCTTCCCCTTGCAACCTTGGCCAAAAAGCTACTCGGCAAGACCAACTGCAAGATTGCTTGGCAATCTTGCTCAAAAAAGTGTTGTAAATTCCCCGCACACTACTAGCAGTAGTAGTCGTCGTCGTAGTAGTCGTAGTAGTAGTCGTCGTAGTCGTCGTCGTAGTCGTCGTCGTAGTCGTCGTCGTCGTAGTAGTAGTAGTAGTAGTGGTGGTAGTAGTAGTAGCTTTTTAGTAGCAGTAGCAGCAGCGTGGCGGCGGCAGCGTCGGCAGTGCCAGCGGAAGCGGCAGATAGCTAGGTGGCTAGGCGGGCAGGTAAGGGTAAACGTAAGACCAAGAGTCAGAGTACTAGTCCTAGTAGGAGTTAAGAGAAGGAGTAATCGTGCCACAGCTTCCATTACACCAGCTGAATGTGGCAGCAATAAACAATACAATTCTTGCCGAACTCCTTGGTCGAGGGGGACGAAACTTTCCGGTGCAAATGGCCCGATGGCTTGGAGATGCTGAGAGGCCTGCCCTCGCCCGAGAAAGGCACTAATGCTTTACTTGATTCCTGTTGTTTGGTTTTTGTTTTTTGGGAATGTTGAATGCCACCCGGGGATGGCTTTCGGTCGAGGGTGCTGGCATTGGAGGTGGACGATGTTGCAATCAACCTAGATACTACCTCGTCCAACACGGGCTTGGTTGTGTAAGGTGCGTGTTTCATCTCTGCTTTTCTTTCCCCAGCTCTGGGGCTCAGTTCGCCCTCCAGTTTGGAAGGACCTATGGCAAGAGCCACGGCCTTCACTGCCGCAGCAGGCGATGTTGCCCTGCTCAGAGTCTCTCATCTTGGGACATGACAGCACGGGACAAACATAAGACAAAACGAAGAGTCGAGAGGGACAGAAGCCCGTAATGCTTGACCCACACAATCCCATGACAGGAGGTGGAGCCGTCTTGGAGCCATGAGAACAGGTCTGAAAATGCAAGCGCAACCGCCCAAACAATAATCATTCACTTCCTCGCAAACTAATGCTCTGGAAACCTTTTTCGTGCGAGCTGGTTCTTCCACATCACGAAGGCCTTGGCGGCCTGATGCCATCCTTTTGAAAACTACTCCAAACTCTTCTTGCGTAGTTAACCTTCCGACGACTTCATCGGTAGAGGCGCAAAGGCAGAGTAAAAGGTTCAAACAAATGGCATAGCCCAGTGCGCTGACTGAGAGCCTGCAGCTTATCGTCACACCAAATATCCGTCCCGCATATCAAATCATCTGAAGGCTATGCCACACAGATGCACAGACCCGCTTTCGATTTGAAAGGGTCTCAAAGAGTGTCTCTCCACTGAGACTGGCAAGATTTCTGGCATACAGTACCAGGTCTCAGATAAAGTAGCAATACAAGATCAAGGCAAGCAGCCCCTCTAGCATGATATACATAAGGCCTTCTGGACCTTGTCAGATCACCACTTTCTGCGCTAGGTGGGTCGTCTATGGGGCCGCGCGCCGGCTTACGGCCTCTGGCCCATGGCTCGAGTGCCTATCACGAGAAGGACCTGAACAGAGCAAAAGATGCTCGGCCAGAAGCTGACGCTCTCGAGCAGGGGGCTTTGCGCTTGGATGCTCAGGACCTGGCGTCGTGTTGACGGCGCGGTGGAGGAGCGAGAGTGCACCTGCGCTTCCAATGTCAGCTCCCTTGTCCTTTGCCATGTGGAAATCGTCGTGGCGACTCGCGCGCTCTGTACACTGCATGCCCAAGAGGCCTGAGGCGAAGTTCCTGAGATGTTTCTACACACCGCTTACTGCCTGCAAAGTAGCTTCAGCGACTCCGAAAAGGCTCTCGTCTTCTCTCCTGTATGTTGTAACATAGGATGCCGATCGAGCTTCGTGGAGCGGCGCGAGCAGAAGTTAGTGTGCCAGCTGCTGAGATGGGCCTCACTAGACCTCGAGGTTGATTTCAGTTCAAAAACTGCACGCGTCATGTTGCAAGTAATGCATCCGACGTCGTGGGCACAACAACACACACACGACCCGTCTTGAGCTGCGGACCATGAGCGGACCCTGCATTCCTGTGTGGACACGGCTGGTTGAAGGAGGGCAACATCCATCTGCGAGTCCGAGGGCTAGGCCCTGAATCGTCTGCTTTGGAGCACTTGGACATGTCACCCTTTGTCCTCTGACGCTGCAGTTCTTCCCATTGCACGGCAAAGACATGGCAGGTCCTGCTTTCCGACAAAAACTTTGTCGCCGCTTTGGTTGGCCTGATGTACGAAGAGAGACTGAGGCCCAGGACTCAGGAATTGCATATGCTGGCCAGGTGGGCCAATTTGATTCGATACCACCTGGAGCTTTCATTACCGAGCGCAGCCGGCCATGATCGCAGCTTATTCGATCTTATTCGAAAGCAGTTGGCAGGCGGCATTTAGCACGGCACTTTAATTGCCGGCAACCAATACTTAATTCAGATTGTGTGCCGTGGAGGATACAGCTACGAGTAGAATCTAGAAATAGTCGTTCCAGGTTCCGTTAGACACGGCCGGGCTCAGAGGCACGTGGGTCATTACCTGCATGCCAGACTGCACCGGCGACCGGCTTTCGCATTGCCAGAAACCTTGCATCCGTATGAACCCTTGCCCTGCTGGGAGTCACGCACACCGAAGGAGCCCACGCGGGAAGGCGACAAATGGTCCTGGCACTCTGCACACTCCGACCCAGCAGCTCAATCAACATAAAAGAGCAGTCACTGCATCATCAACTGATCACAGGAACTCTTCTGTCTGAACCTCCTGCAGCGTCGAAAGCCGCTGGCCTCATGACATCACTGACCATGTCCGTCTCAGCCACATGCCCCAGCAGGGCGTCAGTACTACTTACTTTGTAAGCCAACTGAGCAGAAGCAGGCTCGCCGCTTGCATGCAAAAGATTGACAGGAGCCAGCTTGGCATCCGTCAATTGAGCCCCCGGCGTTGCAGAACAGTTGAGGGCATCGCAAGTTTCTGAGAAAGCCGCGCGTTTGCTGCCTGCCCCTGTCGAGCACGTATGTTTCTTTGTGCTCTCTGTCGCTGTTCATACTCCTATGACGCTCCGACACCTGGTCAATCAAATGTATCGAGGCCAAGGAGTCAGTGCCATGGAAACTGGCGCGAAAAGCAGGCACTCTTCGAATGCAACAGATTGTGCAGCTCTGGTCACAAGCCGGGTTCGCTGAACACAATGTTGCCTGAGCCCAAAAAGGAGACATCACCCATGTCTCATGCGCATGCCAACACTAAAACCATGTGAAAGGATTGTGTGGTTCGTCATGAACGTGACCGTCGGAGCTTTGACATCTGCAAGCCTCTATTGTCATCTGCATAATTAGCTCTCTCTCAATTTCTCCGTCTCTGCATGCACTGAATTCTCACCATTGCTTATGACTGAAGTGGTAGCTGTGTGTGCACCAGGCGGCAGCTTCAGTGAGCAAAACTCACAGTGGTCCAGCATCAGCACAACTAGATCCTTTCGCCACCAACGTTTTGGAAGCCAAGCTGCGCTTGCGCTTTCTTTCCGCGCAATTTCGCATCCAAAACCTTGGAAGACATTCACACTCTCAGTAGCCTTGTGCATCTACACATGCGTCAGGGATGAGATTAGCCCATTCAAAGACCCAACA